ATCTTCCTGAGGTAGGAAATGTAAATGGTTTGGTAATTGTGAAACCTCTAAAGAATATCTTTCAAGAGATGTTAACAAATGTCTTTAGGTCTCTTTAAATCTGTCGCTTAGACTGTTGAAGGGCTTTACCTTCATCTAGACTAAGGAAAGAGGTAGAGGAGCATCGGTCTGACAATTCAAAGAAGCAATAGTCACTTCTATTATCCATCTGATCCTATGAGAGCTGAAAATCTGGACAGCTCTATTGCTGGATCTTAGTGACAACTCACCCTTGGCGCTGCTATGGCGATATGACTTTAGGAGCTCGTGTTCTAGAGAGGTGATAAAGCCCGTAGGAGCTCAGCAGTTGTGGAACCTCTCGAGGTTCAAGTGTCAATCAGAAGTGAGTGCAGTAACCACTTAGTTTCTTCATACTGATTTGTGAGGAAAGTAGTGATGACAGTGGGTGGCGAGGTAGTCACATGAGAGCATAAGGCAGCAACTTTGGTGGGAGAAAATGTATAAAATTGACTTCTTCTTTGACTGAAAAGAAAACTATGACATTTTTGACATGTATGAAGGTAAAGTTAGCTTTGCAGTAATGAAGACCAAGAGACTTTGAGGCGTGTTGAACTATACATGCGAGAGTTACCTCCTTGACTACTATATTCACAATACTTGAAGGCCATTGTACGGACGGATCTACCCTGTTCAAACTTCGCAAATGCTTCGGGCTTTTTTCCTTCTTTCATTCTATAAAAACGATGCTTTTCCTTCTCTCTTCTCTCAAATGCACTTGGAGGGGGGTTTGAAGGGGATGGCTGGAAAGGAAAAATATACATATAGAAAGAATTTGCCTTCCCTTATAGAAGGAATCCCAGCGAAATCCCACCACTCGAGCAACAGTCCATCGCAAAGTTGAAAATCATTTTTTTTACTGAAATTCGGTTGACAGCTGAGAGAGAAGGGGAGTCAAATTACCCAACTGCACCCCCATTTATGAAAAAAATTTTGGTTTAAAAAAGAGTAAAAATGTTTATTAAATATATTTTTTGCTCCTTAGAAGACATAATGAGAAGGTGCAGTAAAGAAACTAAAAGGAAGTGACACTTGAAGAAGGGCCTTAGAATTAATGCATTCACTACTGTTGGTTGTCATCCATGAAGACTGATGAGTCAAAAAAGGAAAATTTGAATGAAGAGATTAACTGGAGTTGGGGTAGGAAAGGCAAGAGGTAGGGAAACGGGCGGAGAAATTCAAAAAGGTGAGGGGGGAGTTCACTAAAATGGGCTGAAATGAAGTGCAAATTCGACTTTGGCCGTAGAGCGATGATTTTACCTTTTACATATAGAAGGTGATGAGATCGAAGAGAAGGATAGCCGCCAGCGCGACTGTGAGCGACATCGCAGTGGTGGCAATGAAGGGCGACCAGAGATTCCGGCTATTTAAGTAGTAAAATACCCCCACAATGGCTATGATAGCAGCGACTGTAGTGGCCACAGTGGAGACAATCTCAGTCCAGCTGCTTCCGTCAGTCACAACGAGGACGAGGAAGATGGCAGCCAGGAAGATGATTAGACCAGCAGTGAGGAGGAGGGCACCGGTTATTTCATGCACCTTCTGGTTGATACAACGAGGGCCGAGAATGCTATCTCCACATCCCCAGCCGCTGTAACCCACTGCCACAAAAAAGAGAATAGCTGCCAGGAGAGCTACAAAAACGTAACCCAGCCTACGATCCATTCCTGTGTGTGCCTCAAAAATGAGCCCGTGTGGGGCTGCAATTACTCCATTCAATTTTATACCTGCATTCAATCACGAGACTTAATTACAATTGGCTTCAAGGAATGCTGCAAAGCAACCGCACACAAAAAATTTTATGAATGGTTATATGGAAGAAGCCTTTTTTACATTACATCACTTCCTAAAAAACAAAGGACGGTAAAAAGAAAGCAATTTAACTGACCGAAGAGTCAGAAAGCGTGGGCACCGCAAACCCTGTTGGCATCAGAAAGGCACTCGAAACAGTGGGTAGCTCCTTTATAGTGGAAATAATTACCGAATTATTTATTGGCTTTATGCCTCTATCTCATCTCATATCGCCTTTAAGTGGAGGGTGCGAACAAACTCCTCCACATAGCTCACAGTAGCAGAGGTCGGGTTGTGACAACCGGGAGGGCCAGAGGCGCCACTGAAGGAAAGAAGGTGTCAGAAATAAGATTGGACGAGAGAGAGGGATGGACACCATCCTCTCCTTCATTAAACTTGGAAGAATTCAATAGCTCAAAAGCATCAAAGCCAATGCTACCAGATTCAAAGTCAACTTTCAATGACAGAAAAGTTAAGTGGGCTGATTGATAGCCATGACTGTTGCCATAATGGTCCATGAGAATAGTAAAGGGTAAGTGAATTTTGGGTCTACTTTAAAAGTCACGAGAGAAAATTAGCACTAATTTGGTGTGCAGTAAATTAGGTGCCCTTCAGACCAATCAAAGTGGAGTTGAGTGGCACCATGACATTATAAAAAGGGAGTACCGAAGCCTGTTGACAGATCTACGGGGTTGTGTTTACCACGTGACAGGAGAAGACAAAAAATGGATCGCAGAATCGCCTACATTATTATTGCCTTGGTGGCAGCCATCCTCTTCTTCGTGGCGATCGGATACAGCGGTTGGGTGTGTAGTGGTAGTATTCTTGGCCCCAATTGCCTCAAAAGCAAGGTGAATGAAGCTACTGGTGCTCTTCTCCTCACTGCCGGTCTACTCGTCCTCATCGCGGGCATCTTTCTCATTCTCCTCGTGGTTACGGGAACCAGGTGGAGTGAGATTGCCTCTGCTATCATTGCCACTCTCGCTGCAATCATGGCCATCGCCGGAGTCTTCTACTACCTCGATCACATGAAAATTTGGTCACCCTTCATTGCCACCATTGCCATGTCTCTCTCCGTCGCGTTGGCCGCCATTCTTCTCTTCGATCTCATCACCGGCAGTACCTAAATTAACTTGGCACATTCTCTAACATCCTCACCAGTTAGGGTTTCTGCATTAATAAATTGCACCTGCTTGGTTTTTCCCTCTCTTAAAAGGGGGTCACGGGGCAAAGGATGATAGGTTGCCAAAGTCACTGGTTACGTTAGCTTTTGAGAGCCACTTGGTCTATTCGATACCTCGATTAGTTAGTGGTGGAGTTGGTCATTGTTTGTGAGGACTAGCAGTGTGAATGCGCTTACGTTTTCCCAGAAGGGTGTTTGAATGTGTGCCATGAGTGCCAGGTAGTTCAAGCACGTTTGCTTATGGAATGCAGTTTAAGTTCCCCTTTTCTCTTACCCCTCTCTCACGTAAAGGCATGAAAGTTGTTGCAAAACATTTACGAGAAGTCGGTACCTGTGTTCTTGGAGCGACTCGCACAAGAAAGTAAAAAGAAGGAGCACTCATATTGAGTGGCGCGATTTTGGTTGTGAATCACCCAAATCAAATAGAATTTCATCATACTGCGAAGTGCGGAGGATGCAGTGTAGGCGATTACGCAACAAGTGGTTTGCTATCTCCAGCACTCGGAGATGTGCAGAATGAAGTGGTTGTTCCCGCTACGTGAATGGAAGTCAAATAAGCACAGATGGGAGATGATAATCTACAGAACGGAGGAGGAGGAGTTATGACTCCAAGCTTAGCGGGGAAAGCCTTTGAAGGAACGAAAGAACACTTCGTTGGCTATCCCAAAACGGTCTACTCATTAATCATGTTAAAGAACCCCTCGCCTATTCACCATTACGAGACTGTACAAGCTCTGAGATGAAAAAGCGGGACGCTATTATTCGATCACCTCAAAAATTAAGCGATTGCAGTTGCGAGTTCTCGATGCCAAGTTAGGGATTTGAAAGTCACTTTGATTTGGGAAAACTGTAAAAAAAGATAGAATGAAGCAACCTTAATCAGTTATTAGTCAGATCGAGGCAATAGGGTGAGATGGGATGTGGAGAGGCGGTTTGGGATTAGATTTAATGGGTCGAAGTGGGTGAAGGTGATTGAAGCGATGCAAAGAGAAAGTCGATGCTGTAGGCTAGGGTGATAGCGAGACTTCCTTTTTGTTCTGACAACAGTACCGATTTATTAGCCCCTAAAACACCCATCTGAGCTTGTGCCTACATACCCACTTGCCTACTCATCTACCTACGTAGATGGCTAATTAAGCACTTGTGTGGGTTGGATGCAGTGGGAGAATGGCAGTCCTGTCATACATCAAAGAGTGCCATCGTCTATGCCAGTACAATTGCGTTAATGATGGGAGACATTCTGCTTAATCTGACATAGTGTAACTACTCACTGCTACTTATCACTAGCATATCCTTCACTGTGCAGCAATACCCACAGCAAAAGAACCGCCCTCCCTTTGCCTCAACCAAAACGCGGAGATAAGTGGCAGTTAAATCCGGTGAGGATTGGTTGACCAGCAGCAGCAAGCGGTTGGCCGTTAGCAGTCAGTTAGCAGTCAAAAGATGGCAGCTACAGAACTGCTCATTCCTCCGTCCTGTTTATTGCATAAGCTTGACACTAGATCTATCCTCTCTGCATTCAAGCCATAGTAGCGAGGAGGACTGGAATGACGGCTGCTAACAACAGCATGACAGTCCACTCACCTCGTATGCACTGGCACAGTAAAACAGCTCCAGAAGGGCTGAAATACCACCAACTCATGGATTATCAATACATATATTTGCCAGACATCACATGTCTTCTGTCGCATTTCTTTGTGTCGTACCACTAGTGCCACTTCATAGCCCCAGAGACACTCCATTTAATTATTATTAAATTATCATTTGCTGACACTAATCAAAACTGATGCCTGAAAGTAGGCACAAACTCACCAATCAACATATGCATTCGGCTCTTCTGCAAGATTCTACTGAATTCGCTCCTCTTGCCTTGTTCGCAAACATTCCTGTAACAATTGTGCACTTCACACACTAGTGAGTTCTGATTGGTCAGTACGGTGTACTGATATACTTTAACAGTACGCTATTGTTGATGCACCCTCATAACGCATTCATGGAGGTTATTCATCTCAAGGTGTTGGATAGAACCCTCTCCTCTCCTGGCGTGGATACCAACACACCGGGCAGGGGCCAGTGACGCCACGCACACATGTATCGTGCCTTCATTGGTCTCCGCAGCATTCTTATCTCTCTGTCCCGCTGAAGTCCACCTCATTTTTTCTGGCTGGAAGAGCAACGTGTCCTCTGCTTAACATTTAGTGCAAATTAGGTTGCAAATGTGACTGAAGAGGGGAGAAGTGGATCTACACATAAAATGGTCACCCATTGTAATCTTCAGGGAAAACAAATCGCTCCTAATTTCTTTTTACTCTCACTGGTGACCTTTATCAAGGATTCTCTTTCCTTCAAGTTTGTTTATTTTGCCTGTGTAATTTGATAATGGATATGTGCCAGAAATAGCGTCACATATACGTGAAATTCTGCAGTCACAACTTGCCAGTCACACCCCACGTCCTGATAGGCTATTGTATTAAACCGTTTCCAAAATGGACTGATCGCCTGTGAACCAGTGTAGCATGCTTGGCTCTGTTGTTTTACAGTTGGTGAAGCTCAATGAAGCATTTTCTGAGTTTTTTTTTTGAAAAAAAGATGATTTGATGAATCTAGAGGTGAAAATGTTTGTGTTATGCAAGAACAGTATGACATCCCGTCGTAAAGGTAGTTTTTCACGAGGGGAATTTGAGCGGTCTGACTGTAGCAGGGAAAAGAGATTAGGGCATTATGTGGAACCTAGCCACCACAACTTACGAATTCTACTTTTACTTTAAAGTTGCGCCCCCTTTAAAATTACAAAGTAAAGTGTGATCCACCATTCCAGTAGTAGAAGATAGCACCAAAGTGATCAAGTGTATCCCAGCCATAGATTTAACCCGACTGAGTTGCGATGGCATCTAATAGTTCTCATCCACACCGCTGCCTGTTGCCTAAAGTGAGATGACTTAGGGCAACGTGAAGCGGCAGCTTTCGTGACCCTTCACTGATTAAGCTCAACGGATCAGAGCAACGATGAATACAGTCCCCATCAATCAGGCGGTGCAGCTGCGCGATGGCTGGGGTCAACTCCTAACACTTGCCCATCTCCAGGATTTGACATCCCCCGTGTTATCGGGCTAGACAGTTCATGCTTCGAGTCATCCAGTTCCCCTTTAAGCCACTTGTAATAGCGACCTTCAAGGTCCCTTCCTGAGGGCATCTGGGAGCTACCTTTCCTAAATCCCTCAGTTGAAAGACCTTAGCTATCATCACAACTCAAAGTGAGAAGACATCCATAAAGCCTGTCGAACCCAAAAATCCAGATCATGGAGGCAATCTTCAGGATATGCTAACTCTATTCTTTGAAAATGCCTACAGGTGGAATCAAAGTCTGGCAGAAATATAACATAAGTAAATGAAGTGGATCATGGGCGATTTGGCAGGGTACGCAGCTACAGGCCTGAAAAAGTGGTCGTCTCCCATGTGCATGCGACTGAAGATAAGGACGACAGCCAAAGCGACAGTGAGAGACTTCACGATAGTGGAGATGAAGGGTGGCCAGATATTTTTGGCTGTCCAAGCAGTAGAACACTCCATCCATAGACAAGATCGTGGAGATTGTGGTGAGTACAATGGAAATGATATAAACTTAATTATTACCTTCCATCACAGTAATAATTAGGAATATGGAAAAAAAGAAGGGGACCAGACCAGCCGTCAGAAGCAGGGTATCGGACATTTCATTTACCTAGCTTTTGTAACAATCCTTTGAGTATGCTACCAACACATCTCCAACAGCAAATACGAAGGCCAAAAATGCTTAACACACTCGATGATCAATGTATTCCATGGAGTACTCACCCTCATTAAGTGGTGCAAGGAGTCACCTGTCTTTGCTGTCATTGGCTTTGACATTTAGTTGACAATGGCGCAGCAACACTTATACTTTATATATAAGTAATCTTTAATATCGACTCGGTGACTAGTCTACCATCCCCTCTGTGACCCTTCACTTAACTTGGTCAACCGCAGTTCGGGGTCCAAATTTCTTTATTGCTGGAAAGTAATGTTCATTCCATTCATCAACTTCTTCAAATATGTCAAATGACTGATGACAGTGATTACGACCTAGAAGTGAGCATCTCCTTTGAAGTAAAGGTGAATGTGCGTCAATCTGTCAATGGGAACATTTTCATTTTCTCCTCTACCGCCTTCCTTCTTCTTAACACCGCTGTTCTACCAAATCGCAGTTAGACAGATCTGCTTCGCAAATTGACTTCACCTCGATTTCTTAGCTATAGGCGTTTCTCGCCAAGGTTGCGACATAAAACTTGAAGAAATCGTGGATTGTGGGGTTTGCAGATGTAGTCGCCACCGCCGATCAAGTGCTGGCAAGTCATCCAATTGTGGATGCGTTAGGCCGACGATGAGCCTGCATCCTCGATTGTCGTAACCATGTATGTTGACTGGAAGCCAAAAGCAGTACTTACCCCCACGCCTTCAACTGGGAATGCAAGTGGTGGAAATGGCAGTGCAAATGGATGGCATTCACATGCATTAAAAATTAGCTTCCGTGCTTCTTTCAAGCGTCCTACAAAAATGCATCATAGACGCCGCAGTATTTGTCTACTAACCGACTGAGTGAATAACGAGCTGGATGGGTGAGTAACTCACTTGCTGACTAACAGTTTATCTGCTTGAGTGTAAAGAATTGTCGTCAAATTTGTAGGACAAGCAAATGACTGTGGCATTAGTCACTACTGGCGACTCATCGTACCTCCTTCACCAACTCACAATCCACGCTCATAAAGAAGGTCATGCTTAAGGTGTGTTTGAGCCGGTCTTTACACCTCTCCTGATCATAGTCATCGCTGGGATTTCTGGTTACCTTCATCAAGGGAAAGAGGAACGGTAAAGGCGAGAGAATTAGCGTGAAGAGAGTTTCATTCGTAAGGCACCAAGAAAGCTCCAATATCGCAGGTTAAAAATGGAAATGGGGAAGGAAGGCAAGAAAGTCTACCGTAATCCTTGTCTACACTCCCTTCCGCGCACAGAAGCCTAACGATATTTGCCCAAGTAGTGATTATCCACTTGTAGCCGCATAGCACAATTTTATGATCAAATGCATGGCAGAAAAGGAAGGTGGGCAAATGACGTCCAACGGCATTATTTCTCTGTCACTTTCCTTCGTTTCTACAGACTCCATTCATATTACAGCTCTCTCAATCACATTCTGCCTCGTGTCACCTTCAGTGACAGTGCATGACAAATTGCAATCCAGACCACCTCCTTCAACCATTAAGACCAACACTTTGACAAGCTCTCTGCTCTACCTCACACACCCTCCACCACCCAAAGGAAAGCCACATCCAATGGGTCACATTCTCCTTGTGTGTGGAACTTCACTTCTTTCAAAGATGAAGTGAGGCGATTTCGCCCAGTCATCAGTCAGAAAGACACGATGTGGTGAGGTAAGGTGAGATGGAATGGAACAAATTGGATGAATTGGAGCAAAGTGAAGATGCAGGTTCAAGATGAGAACGAGGGCATGTATCCCCCATTGTTCTGATGACTACACCAATTTGCTGACAGCGAAGACATCCACCCAGTGCCTCCCCACTTATCTGCGTGCATCCAAACTGATCACAGGTCATCCACTGAGTCGGGTCAAGAGCAACCATTCGCTACTATCCATAGCTAGCACGTCTGCTACAGTGCTGCTGTGATCACTACTGATCAACTACCTCCTCTGCACATTACATGACACGTGACGATGGATGGCAGTTGAATGCAGTGAGGACTGACTGACTAACAGCAGTCAGCATTTGGCTGGCGGTAGTCAGTCGGTAGGTAAGCAGCAGTAGTCACAGAAGTGCCCACATCTCAGCACTGACAATTGCGTAAGCATGCTGCCAAGTCTACTGTCACCACATCCACTACCACAGTTGTGGATGGGAACTGGGATGAGCAGTGCTGCCAGGAGCATAATACACACTACTCTCTTTTCTGCATTTACACCGTGAATCATGGAATCTGATGAACTGAAACGCCGCAGTGTCATGACTTCTCACCACATGTAGTCGCCTGATCTTACAAGATTGACCTTTCATCCCTTTGTTAAAAAGTAACACTACCGATTGGTTGGGCGGAGGGCATGAGCACGGGAAACCAGGTTGGTAGTTGACAGACAGTCGAAGCTTTGTTGTTACAGTTATGAGCAGTTTTTATGATATGGGAAACAAATACGGAAGGGTATGTACTCTCTCCCTGTCTCACCTCATATCGCCTTCATTTGGAAAGTACGAACAAACGCCTCCATAATAGCTCACACTGTCAAAGGTGGAGCAGGAAGGAGATTCATGGCAGTTGACAAGCAGAAAAGTGACAACTGGCAAAACCAGTGGCGCCACTGAAAGGAAGAAGTTACCTAAAGTTGGGTGAGGTGAAAGAGAGCGAGAGATAGGCATCTTCCTTCACTTCAATGGGCTTTAAACACCATCTCGGCCTTCACTAATGACGCCTCAGGGTAATACATTAGCAAGCGCCACCGCCAAACCGAATGCATAAAAATTAGTGTTGTCAGATTCAAGGCCAGCTTTCAGTGATACCGACATCAAGTAGATCATTTGATAGTCAAGAATAATGCCACGATTTACCATGGGGGATTGTAAAAGTAAGGTGAATTTTGGGCCTACTTTAACGCTAATTCAGCGACCCCTATGGTGGGTGCCTCCAAACCAATAAAAGTGAGGTTAGGTGGCGTCATACCATTATAAAAACAACGCAACGAGGTCTGCTGACAGACCTACAGGGTTGTGTTTACCACGTGAACGGGGGAGACAAGAAATGGATCGCAGAATCGCCTACATTATTATCGCCTTGATGGCAGCTATCCTCTTCTTCATGGCAATCGGATATTACGATTGGACTTGTGAAGGTAGCAATCCTGGTCCTAGCTGCATAAAAACCAAGGCAAAAGAAGTGATCGGTGCCCTGCTCCTCACCGCTGGTTTACTCATTCTCATCGCGGCCATCTTCCTCATTATCCTTGTGGTTACAAAATTCCCTCCGAGCGAGACTGCTTCTGTTGTCATTGCCATCCTCGCCGCAATCATAGCCATCTCTGGGGTCTTCTACTACCTCTATCAAGTGGGAATTTGGTCACCCTTCATTGCCACTATTGCCATGTCTCTCTCTGCCGAATTGGCGGCCATTCTTCTTTTCGATCTCATCACAAGTAAAACCTAAATCAACCATCATTTGGCATTCTTATCAGATAAGGTTTCCACATTGGTAAATTACATCTGCTTGTTTTTTTCCTCTCACAAAGGTGGTCACGGGACGAAGGATGATAGGTTGCCAAAGTCACTGGTTGTATTGACACTTGAAGCTCAGTGAGTTGGTTCTGCACCCTACCAGATCAGTGTTAGGCTTAGCTGCTGATTGAATATGGAGGTACCCACCTCTCCACAGAACGTTGGGCTTCATCAGCGACGGGTACTTCATGCATACCGGCTTTACGAATGGAGGTTAGTACCCTCTATTCCCCGAAACTCACATTTTAAACCCGTGAAATCGTCTTGAAGAAGTTGTTGCAGGGAATTTGTGAAGGGTCGGTGTTTATGGTGGCAGAGTGACACGCACAAAGTGTCAAAAGAGGGTGCACTGAAAGTTAGTAATACGATTCTAATGGTGAATATCCCAATTTTTATAACGCGACCAGTGAAGCCCCAACTTTTCCTCCTCACTCCTCTCTGCGACCTTACTTGTACTAAAAGTTAAGCAGGGGACATGCTGAGCATTCAGTCGGGAATGTGATGGCGACTTCAGTGTAAAAGAGAGGTAGCGAAGCTGCAGTGTCAAAGACAGTTGCAGGCACGGTACACGCGTGTGTGGGGCATCACCGACCCGGTGTGTTGGAGTCCACGCAACGAGAGATGAGGGTTCTATCCTATGCCCCGTGAACTTGTCTGTTGGAAGTTTCTCGGGATAAAGTACCTCAGTGAATGAGCTAAGAGGACGTGTTAGCATTAGTGTACTATTAAAGCGCATCAGCACACCTCACTGATTAATTGGGCGAAGTTCATTGGTATGTAAAGTTTCAGATTTTCGCAGGAGTATTTGAGATTGAGGCGGGTGAAGAGGGGATCACATTAAACTTTGCAGAACAGCAAACTGCCAGTGTTTATTGGTGAGGTTGTACCTATCTCCAAGCATCTTTGATGCATGTGTTGTGAGGGGGTAGGATGATGCGTGATTGGTATTCGAATTGAGTGTCTCTGGAAATATGATAAAACACCTGATGGTGACTCGACAGAAAGGAAAGTGGGTAGAATTATGTGATATTTGACGGCTCCTTAGGATGCAAATGGAAGTGAGAAGAGTGAGCTGTTATGCTCTTCTCAGCAGCTCCCGTTCTAGTCCCCAAAGGCTAATATAGGTAAGGATTCGGAGATAGTAGACTTGGTAGCTTGCTAATGGGATCGTCAGTGAGGAAGTGTGAGCACTTCTGTGACTGACATCTCTGGCCTGTCATCTGACTACCAAAAGCCGACTACTGACTGCTACTAGTCGGCTAATCTTCCCCACTTCCATCTGTTACTCATTTTCCCCTTTGGGTTGGGCAGCATGGCACTGCGACAAAAGCGTTAGCATAAGACAGTAGTGAGTAGTTAAACTTTGGCAGATTGAGTGCTTTATGTATCATCATTAACACAATCGCGATGTCACAAACGATTGCAATCTTTGATGTATGACATGTTTGTTGTCCTCCCTTTACACTTAACTCACACGAGAGCTTAATTAGTTCCTTAGGTAAGCAGTTAAATAGGTGCGTAGGTAGGCAGGTAAGTAGGTAGTTAGGGGCCAGAAAATCGGGACAGTTGACGGGGCAACAGGGGGAAATCATTTGCAACTTGGTCCACGCTCTCGACATTCACTTCTCTTCACTCCACTTCACTTCTCTTCTTCCAACTCACCTCTCCTCATCTTATTGTTTCGGCCTGACTGATGACTGATTAAAAATGCTTCACTTTACCCTTTTGCTGTTTTCTCAAAACAAGGTGGCTTGCACACTCTTGAATTGCATCGAGACGAGATAACCACGATCACTTTGATTTTGGCGAGAACAAGCAACGCCTCCTCTCTTCCACCATCTAATCACGAACTCACTCGGAGCACGTGGGGTCTCGTGATGGTGAAGTATGCGTGGCTGTCGAGTAGGGGTAATGCATAGACCCATTTAAGATAGCCAAATACACGTTCAGTCGTTACTTCGAACGCGTTGCTTTCTAAGCTATGGGTCCTTCCACTTCCCCCTGGAATATTTACATTTTCCGTCTGTGAGTCTGTGACAGCCATTCATGTGGTGAAACCTATCACTTCATCTTCCCCACCTCATGTGGATGGCAAACTCATCGTTGCATTTACTGTGTCAGGCAAAGTGTACTGCTCATTGTGATGCAACTCCCCTTAATTGAGCCATTCCACCACCAGAATCGCACCACTCACATACAAAAGCCTCTTATCTTTTTGCGCCTACCGGCCTGACACTGCAAATAACAGACCCTCTCCAATGACCTCGTTCCACGCTCTGCGACCACCAGCACCAACCCTTTTAAATGTCCTACAACACCTACCACGCCTTTGGGGGGAAGAGGGGTAGGAGAAAAGGGGGACTTAAGCTACATTCCATAGGCAGACATGCTTGAACTACCTGGCACTCATGCCACACATTCAAACGACCTTCTGGGAAATTGCGAACGCATTCACACTGCCAGTCCCTACAAACAACAACCAACCCCAACACTAACCAATAGAGGTATCAAATCGACCAAGTGATTCTCAAACGCTATTTTAACCAGCGACTTTGGCAACCTGTCATCCTTCGTCCCGTGAACCCCTTTTAAGAGAAAGAAAATAACAAGCAGATGCAATTTATTAATGCAGAAACCCTAACTGGTGAGAATGTTCGAGAATGTGACGAGTTGATTTAAAAACTGATGGTGATGCGATCGAAAAGAAGAACTGCGGCTAACGCGATGGTGAGGGACATGGCAATAGTGGCAATGAAGGGTGACCAACTTTTCATGTGATCGAGGTAGTAGAAGATTCCGGCGATGGCTATAATTGCAGAGAGAATGGCAATGACAGTAGAGGCAATCTCGCTCCACATGGTTTCGGTAACCACGAGGATGATGAGAAAGATGCCTGCGATGAAAATGAGTAAACCAGCTGTGAGGAGAAGGGCACCGGTCACTTCATTCCCTTTGCTTAGGAGGCAATTAGGCCCAAGAATGCTACCATCACATCCCCAACCGCTATATGCGATCGCTAAGAAGAAGAGAATGGCTGCCACCAAGGCGATAATAATGTAGGCGATTCTGCGATTCATTTCTTGCCTCCTCCTGTCACGTGGTGAACACAAACCCGTAGGTCTGTCAACAGGCCTCGGTATTCTCTTTTTATAATTGCATGTCGCGCAACCAACTGCACTTTGATTGGTTTTGAGGCTTTTAAGTTGGTGAGTTCTCCCAAGCCTAATGAAGAAAAGAATTGTGCCTGCCCCCCTCTCCCTCACCTAGCCTCACTTCTGACAACCTTCTCCTTCAGTGGAGCTGCTGCCCTTCTCCTGATGTCACTTTTCTGTTTGTCAACCATCTTGAGTCTTCTCACCGCCCGACTTTTGCAGCTGTGAACTATGGAAAGGGAATATTCTCTTCTACCCTCCAAGGTCAAGGGTTCACAGTACGACTACATGTGGC